TGTAATTTCCCTTCACTTTCTTTGCTCTGGTGCCTGCATAAAGTTTTTCTTATTTTCTTTGATCTGTGATAGTTCCTATTTGCTCTGATTTTTATGTTGGTTCTTAGACTTCAACATTTTAGCAGTCCTCTAGCATACCTCTGACATCTGTATAAAAGACCCAGCATCTTTCTGCCCTCTCCTACACCTCACATTGCCTCAACAGAAGATTCCTAGAGTCTAAGACCACTCATTTGTCCCAGAAGCCATGCATATGAGATACCCAGCATGAACTACTGGGCTTTGTGGGGACTATGTCTCCATACTTCTTAGTTCAGCCATCCTGGCCTGAAGTTTGTTACACTGAATTCATATCCTACTGAACTCTAATCCCATGATTAATTCCACTAGGGAAATGATGCATAGTATATGCCTCTCCTAGAGATTTGCAATTGTCATTAGCACATTATTGAGAAGTTCTGTAGTTAACAAACCTGTTTAAGTTGGCTACTACTCTAGGATTTCTCAAAGTTATTTGACTTGAGAACTTTCTTTAGGCATACAATCTCATACTATTCCAGAAGATTAATGTTCTGCAAAACTCACTTAGGGAAGCACTGGTCTGTCACATTAGTGAAAGAGAAGAATTTCATGCTGCACGTATTCTGTACTGCTCATAGAAGCAATACAGGGAACTTCTGTATTGCTCATAGAAGACTTATACAGTTAGTCCTGCAAATGTACCTGTTAATGTTTCTATTTACAAGGACCTGAGAACTCTACAAAATCAGGAAAGGTGTGTGCCAGGGTTGTATTCTTTCACCATACTTATTCACTATGTACGCTGAACAAATAATCTGAAAAACTGGATTATATGAGGAAGAATGTGACATCAGGATTGGAGGAGGACTCATTAATGACCTGAAATATGCAGATGTGGCAACCTCATTTAATGAAAGGGAAGAGGACTTAATATTGATGAAGACCAAAGACCACAACTTTCAGTATGGGTTACGAATCGGGCTGCGAACCTTAAGGTCAGCAGTTCGAAACTACCAGCTGCTCTGTGGAGAAAGATGAGGCTTTCTACTCCCGTAAAGACTTACACCCTCAGAAACCCTGTACAGGGTCGCTATGGGTCGGAACCGACTCAACGGCACTTAACAACAACAACAACAAGGTCACTATGAGTTGGAACTGACTCAAAGATACCTAACAAGGCAAATTCTATGTTCCATTAACTTGTTGTTGTCAGCTGCTGTCAAATTGGCCCCTGAGTCAGGACAACTCCATCTACTCCTGAATAAAATGCTGCCAGTTCTGCACCATCACCCTGGTCAGGTGCAGGTCAAGCTCTTATAATCCGTAGGGTTTTCATTGGCTGATTTTTAGAAGTAGATCATCAAGACTTTCTTATCAGTCCATTTAGCTTGGACGCTCTGATGAAACCTGTTCAGCACCACAATAACACTACAACTTCAAATGAAATCGTAAACTATTAACAACAAAAAATGAGCTTAATATTTTCATATCAGATGTGAAATATTATTTCCTTAATCATAAAATGGAGTCCTGGTGTGGCGCCATAGGATAAACATTCAACGTCAACATCAGCTTGAACTGCAAGGTCGGCAATTCAAACTCAACCTCCTGCTCCTTGGAAACCCTATAGAGGGTCACTATGAGTCGTAACCAACATGAAAGCACTTAACAACAATCATAAAATATTTAATTTTTTCCCAGTCATGATGATTATGCCTTGCATTCCCTGGACCTGATAGAATACAGGGTCTAAAAACAATGAATAACTGTTCATCACTGCTGAGGGCCTGACAACATTAAAGATGTGTAAACCACAGAGTATTGGATTTAGGTAAAATTTAAGACAGAACATCCCAGTAGTGGGATGGGTTATTGGAGGTGCTGAGAAATGCATTTTGATAGCACATGAAAGTAGGGCTGATAGAATTTCTTTACAAATTGGATGGTGACTATAAAACAAGCTTCTAAGATGTCTTTAAGTTCTTGGACCTTAACAACTAAAAGGATGGAGTTGCCATCAATTTGGGTGGGGAAATGTGCAGGTAGAATCTATATGGAGTTGTTATTAAGTGCCATCACGTCAGTTCATAGTGATCCCGTATAGGGTTTCCAAGGAGCAGCTGAGTTCAAACAGCCAACCTTGCTGTTCAAACAGACTTTGCAGTCCAGTGCATTATCCTGCAGTGCCACACCAGGGTCGGAAAATTTTTTAGAAATGTTTCATTTTAGACATTTATTTCCATCCAACTGACAAGGTTAAATAGGCAGGTGATATACAAGTCTAGAATTTGGGGAGATGACTGGTTGGTGATTTACTCCCATTATAATTTTTCTCTCTTGATTTTTTTAAGGCTAGCGCTATAATTTTTTTCTCAGGGGAGACAGCATGTACACATCAATTAAACGGGGGAAAAAAATATGGTTAACAACCTCGTTGATTTAAAACAAAACCAAAACATCTTTGAATGTTAAGAAGGAAGAACCCATTCGAAGTATGGATCGGGCTATGTGGAGGAGACTTACCAAAGGCCGTAATTAGCATCACCTGAAAATTCAAGGCAACATGAGAGATAGCACATCCTATTCTCAAATATGTGGGGGAAAGAGTAGTTTAAGAAGCTATTACGCTAGAAGTGCAGGGACTATTCAATGATTAAACAGTGTTGAACTAATGTAGTGATAAGAAGGTTCCTTTCAGTTTTCAGAGTGAACACACACCAGTTAGCTGCCCTGAATTAAAGACTTAGAACACTTTCTTTATTCAGAATATATGCTATAATCACAAGCAGCATATGAAATAAGTGCCCCAAATATTCTCAGACATGCTAAAAGGAACCAGCAGCTAGCTATAGCTGAAGATGAAATGAGAGTAGGTGTTATTTTTTGGCAGAAGTGTCACAAGCAGTAATGATATCTATGACATGCAAGAGCCTTGGCAGAGGATCAAGGTAATCCTTTCCCAGGGCATGTCTTTAAGATCACACTCCTTCATAATGAGCGCTCGCAAACATTACTGCAGCCCCAGAGTTCCCGTTTTATCCTGCTAAAATCTATTAGTGGATTTCAATATTATTTTTACTGCATGTGTATGCTGTTATGGAGAAGAGTAATGAGGCCAGAGACTTTTTAAAAAGAGAAAACAGCAAAAGAGGACTCAAAAAGGTTCTGATGCCCATGTGATAGTTTGTGTCTTTTTACATTTAAGAGACAAGTTTTCAGGACACTATTTTAAGACAACAGAATCATGTGACTACTGGATTAAGCATCCGTGAATAAAAACCCCACTGTATAATCACAAAGAAGGGGGAAAATAAAACAGTGAGAAAGAGAGCAAAGACTGAGAGAGAGGGAGGAAGGAAAACATTAAAAAAAAAAAAAAAAAGAAAAGTGCTTTTCAAAAAATACACAGATATGCACATATAAAATGTGTATTTTAAGATCTACCATTTAAGTCCTCTAAAATTACATTCATAGTCAAAATATAAGACAACTACATCCGAGCTCTCCTTAGAGGAACAGCCATCTAGGGAAATCTAGTCACACATAAGTTAAAAGTAGCTTTCATTTCCTCTCTATTAAAAAAAGAAATGGAAACTTTGGTGTTACTTTCCTGGAAAAAAAACTACAAAGTTATTCAATATACAGGAAACAAAGTTTAGTTCTGTCGTGGGGGAATAAGAAAAAATGCAACAGTAAGTACTGTAGACAAGTGGAGTGAATGAGAAGGTAGCTAAGGATGAGAAAAGTGAAACATATCATATACATAAATAAAAGGAACAGGTATGTTGCAAACATGCAAATTTTAGTTTGGCAAAAAAGGAATAAAGCATTCTTTCTTTTAAATTTGATTTTCTTCATATATCTCCATTAGTGACACCACCCTTTTAATCAGTTGCCCATTAAAAATTTGCAGTTCTTAGTTTTTAGCTCTAGTCTAGATCTAACTACCAGTGTGCAACAAATACTGGGTAAACCGTCCAATTTCTATAATCTCTCCTTGAACCACCACAATTTATTGGCAGTTTATTGCATATGCTCTGCTGCTTCTTAGCCTTTGTTTGCAGTCTGTAAATGAGGAGCAAATCATCATTTCACTCAGGAAGGCCTCCCTGTCTACTCCCTGCCCACAGACTGATTCAGTTCCTCTTCTCTCTGCTCCCATAATGTCCTATAAGCAAACCCCCTGTACGTTACCTAACATAGTGCTACAGCGATTTTCTGGATGACTGCCTTTCCTGTTTTATCTTTATGAACTCAAAACCTAATACACAACTTGATACTTTTGTTGTTATTAGTTGCCATTGAGTAAATTCCTACTCAAGGAAACTCCACGTGTGCAGACTGTCAAAGCCTTTAGGGTTGTCAAAGCCTTTAGGAAGCAGAGTGCCAGGACTGTCTTCCAAAGCACCTTTGAGTAAGTTTTAACCACCAACCTTTTGGGTGGTTGTTGTTGTTGTTATGTGCTGTGGAGTCGATTCCAACTCATAGCGACCCTGAATAGGGTTTCCGAGGCTGTAAATCTTTACGGGAGCAGAAAGCCTCATCTTTCTCCAGTGGAACAGCTGGTAGTTTCCAACTGCTGACCTTGCGGCTTGCAGCCCAATTCGCAAACACTATGCTACCAGAGCTCCTTTTGGGTGGTAGTCAGTGATTAGCTATTTGTGCCAATAAAAATGTTCACTTATTGAATGAGTATTCAAGTAAATCTGAATACAAATTAGATCCCCCATACTGGAGAGGAAATGTGACCTATATATAAAACTTCATGATATATTTTTCCATTTCTACACACATTTTTTTTCCTTTTTGGCTAATGACTGATACTTTGCAAAACTCTTTATAATATTTATTTATCGCTATATATAATTTTATAATACTTGCACAGGTAATTCTTTTCATGAGTTTCTTATTTAAAGCATGTGGTTGAAATACCATCATAAAGGACCTATTAAAAGTGTCTTGCTATTTAAACAACTTACTGAACACATCTCCTCTGGGTTTCTGAGGATCTGTCTGTATCCTGTTGTCAACTGTAAACCCTCCCAGAGATGTACTGGTAGCTGCTGCCGTAGTTGTAAGTCTTGTGGTTGGTCTTTTTGAGGTTGTTGTTGGTGGAGGGGTTCTGAACTCTGTTGATGGTGGTAGGGGTAAGGGTAGAGTAGGCTGTGGTGTTGGCTTTGGTGTAGGTCTTGTTGTTGGCTTAGCAGTAGGCCTGTTGGTAATGACGGGAGGAATATATGGTGTCTTCAGTGGCCATCTAGTACCTCCAACATCAGGAATCCAATTACTGTGTCCTCCATCACCCTTTAGAACAGTACTATTTTCCTTTGGTACATGAATTGGACCTGAAGGTTCAATCATGACTTTTGGAATATCTGAAAGAGTCAAAAGATTTAAATGAATATTTTCAATCCCTAGGAAATTAAAACATCAAAGTATAAAATAAACACCCCAAAACATTTCATGCCAGTGAAGCTACTTTCACATTTAGAATATTGCCCTAAATGGAAGCCAAGATACTTCCAGTTAGGGGAAGCATAACAAAAACATAAGGAGTTCTGGTAGCATAGTGGTTACGAAACGGGCTGTGAACTGCAACGTCAACAGTTCGAAACTACCAGCTGTTCCACGGGAGAAAGATAAAGCTTTCTGTTCCCGTAAAGATTTACAGCCTTGGAAACCCTGTACAGGGTCACTATGAGTTGGAACTGACTCCATGGCACATAACAACAACAACATGTCAGTGCATATGATACATTATGCATACATACATTTGTGTATGTGTGTATATGTATGCATATGCATACATATACATATTCATACTCATTGTTGTTAAGTGTCATCCAGTTGGTTCTGAATTACAGCAACCCTATATAGGGTTTCTGAGGAGTGGCTGGTGAACCTGAGCTACCAACCTGGCGGTTCAAACCGACCTTGCAATCCAGCAAATGAATCCGCAGCACTACACCAGGACTCCATTGTTGTTGTTGTTAAGTGCCTTCAAGTCGGTTCAGACCCATAAGTGACCCTGTATAGGGTTTCCGAGGAGCAGCTGGTGAGTTTGAACTGCCAACCTTGCAGTTCAAATGGCTTTGCAGTCTGGCGCATTAACCCACTGCGCCACACCAGGACTCCATTAGTTGTATGCAAAAATTCACTTTGGTGTTTCTGTACTGAATATGTATTATTTGAAAAATAAAAAATGATTCAATACTTATGAAGTCAGAATCTGCATACAAAAGTTAGAAAAGAAGGAGTTTATTGAATATGATTGGCCTGCAAATGATTTTAAAAAGCAATCAATGGTATTTTATAAAAATGCATAATAGGGTCAAGTCATTTGCGCTTTTGTTGTTGCTTATTAACACGAGAACTATATAGTCTATGTTAAGTACCCCTATGATTAGACGATCCTGTTTAGAATTGTCTGAAGACTAATATTTTTTTCTTATTTGTGCTTTATATAAATAGAAATCATTTAAATACATTTTAAAGTTCTACATGTTGTTTTACAGTTAATCTTCCTTCCCCCTTACTATTTACATTTTTGCTTTTTTTCAAAAAAAAAATCAATGTTTTTAAAGAGATCACCAAGACCATCTGTGAAATCTTTCCTTGATAATCTTTACCAAAAAGAAATTAATATTTAATCTGCCTGGAATGATATACTCCAAACCAAGAATGATGACATGACTTTTTTTAGAAATCATTCAATCACCATTACTCTATGCCTTATGATTTTTTCAGTAAATATTTTACTTAGACTATTCTAAAAAAATTGGAGTCCTGGTGTAGTGCTGCAGGATAATACACTAGACTGCAACATCAGTCTGAACCTCAAGGTCGGTGGTTCAAATCTACCAGCTACTCCTCAGAAACCTATATGGTGTTCCTATGAGTCAAACTGACTAGATAGTTCTTAACAACAACAATTTAAAAACTTACTGATTGCCACATAAAATGCATGCTCTATTACGGCCTTTGGTTTGTAGGTTTTCCACATTTACTTTCTAACATAGCCATCACTCCAAATATAACTCCTAAACATTTAAAAAGCAAGACAGTTGTAAAAGTAGAAAAAATTAGTATGGAAAGATTTTCTTCACAGTAGAGCTGGGAGACAACCAAAGTAAAGGAACAATAACAAAAAAAAATGTAGAATATATTTATATTAACCTATTGTCCAGAACCTAATGCCACTGACAATTTAATATTTCTAATTTTAACAAAATCAAATTCTCAGGAAGAGCTCTCTTATTTCTTTCTAGTAAAGAAAAGCTTTGTTATGCTGTAAGTGCCTTTGAGTCAGTTCTCACTCATAGCGACCTTGTATAGGGTTTCCAAGGAGCTTGGTGAGCTTGAACCACCAACCTTGCAGTTCAAACCAACACTGCAGTCCAGCGCATTAACCTGCAGTGCTATACCAGAACTCTACAGAAAAGCTAGGGAGAGATTTTAATCAAGGAAATCTGAATGCCTTTAAGATTACAATGCATAATTAAAGCTTTATGCTTCAAAAAATGTTGTTGCTGTGCCATGGAGTTGGTTCTGACTCATAGCAACCCTGCGTAGCATTTCTGAGGCTGTAGATCTTTATGGGAGCAGAATGCCTTATCTTTCTCCTACAGAACTACTGGTAGTTTCAAACTGTTGACCTTGAGGTTAGCAGCCCGACTCAGGACCACTATGCTACCAGAGCTCCTTGTTGTTGTTAGTGCCGCCAAGTCGGTTCCAACCCATAGCAGCCCTGTATAGGGTTTCCGAGGAGAAGCTGGTGGATTTGAACCACCAACTTTGCAATTCAAACCAACTTTGCTGTCCAGTGCTTATTCTACAGCACACACCAGGACACAAAAGGAACTGAGCATTATTTTTTTTTTATTAGTTTGTGGAATGCACAGACTACTACTATAATAATAGTACTACCTATGAAGCTTATACTTCTATGATAAATAATCTTGCTTCTAATTTCCTACTGCAATTCAGAGCTTGGGAAGAAGTATTACTTACACACGCAACTCAGTCCATCACCATGGTAGCCATCTTTACATCTGCACTGGTAGGACCCCTGTATGTTGTGGCATTGAGCAAAGCTGCTGCACTGATATTGACCAAGGGAACATTCATTGATATCTGCATCAGAATGTAGGAATATAAGGGCTTTAATTAGGAGATGAATATGATTACCTGAAAATAGTTTCAAAAGTCTATTTTTCTGTTTTTTCATTGTGAAGTCCCATGGAAAATTCAATCAAGAAGCTACTAATAGATGAGTTGCATCGCTGGTTACTTGTTTAATTTTTTAAAGCCAGTATGCTCCCCAACTACTGACATCTCAGTCATCACCACAGTTAAGGCATCATAGGAAGAAACAACACAGAGCAATTTTTGGATCTTATTACCATGACATTGGTATTTGCCTCCAATGTACATGAGGTCGAAGCCTTTATGACACTTGCAGACGTAGCTCCCAAAAGTGTTGACACACTGCCTGAATCTAGGGCAGGAGGCTCTTCCAGTAGCACATTCATCAACATCTAGAAACATAAGTTAATTATGTCTTAGGAAGAGCAATGGCATATTCAAACGGACTGGATTTTCAAACAAGCAATTGAACTATCTACAAATGGTTGTCTGACACATAGTAATCTCACATAAATGTTCTCCAGTTGGTTGCCCCTATGCACAACTCTATTTTCCAAATTCAACTTATTCTCTGAATCTATGCTGTTCTTCTCTCCTGCATCCTGTCTCAGCACATACTACACCTGGATCTACCCAGTTGCTTATACTATAAACATGAGTCATCTTAATTCAGAGAAGTTACTTGAATCCACCTATTCTTCTCTTCATCCACTACAGCATTACCCTAGTCCTGGCCACCAACTCCTAAATTCGACAATTATACCAGTCTCCATATTGGTTTCTTTGCGGTCAATCTTACCTCTCCCAAATCATTCCCTAACTAACTATCCAAATGATCTTGTTAAAACAGAATATTGGAGAGTTATGACTATGGTTAAAGGTTTCCACTGAGTTTAGAAATTAAATGACATTCCTCACCATGCCCTGGAAAGTGCTGCATGATCCCTGTCTGCTTCACTCTTTTATAAGACACCACTTTTCATCAAAGGAGCTCTGGTAGCATAGTGGTTATGCATCGGATGGAGAACTACAAGATCAGCAGTTCGAAACTACCAGCTATGCCGCAGGAGAAAATTGAGGCTTCCTGCTCCCGTAAAGATTGACAGCCTCGGAAACTCTGTACAGGATCGCTGAGTCAGAACCGACTCCACGGCACATAACCAACCAACCAACTCCTCATAAACATTCTGTAGTTCAGTCATGTTGACCTTCTTTAAAATCCCCTAAAAGTCAAGCTCTTTCTCACTGCAGTGCCCTGTTTGGCTGGTTTTTCCATTTATCTTCTAGGTGTTATTTCAGGGCCTTCCCTGACCACTGCTATCTAAAGAAGACCTGTTTTTTTTGTTTTTTTTCTGTCTTTTAGTGGGAGTCTTTTAGTGGTGCTGTGGGCTAATGCATCAGACTGTAAAGTCATTTGAACTGCAAAGTCGGTGGTTCAAGCTCACCCTATACAGAGTTGCTAAGGGTTGGAATTGACTCGATGGCACTCAATAACAACAAGTGCCTCATCTTAACTTTTAATCACGCCATGACTCACACTGCAGATTGTCTGTTTAGACACTGCTGGAAGGGTTTTTAATCCATAAAGACTGAGGGGTTCTCTGACCTTCTGCTTCCCTGGTGGAGCTGTTGTGCAATTTCCTGTCAAACAACAAAACTTTTCAATGGTTTGCTAGGATTATTTCCATATGGAAAGTATCTAATTATGCTTTTTAAAAAAATACTTAAAAAAAAAAAAAGGAGATAATAACAAATTAATAGCTGTTGAATGGCCAAATGTCTTCATTTATTGAGAGCTCACTACATGCTAGGCAGTATGTTTATACCTATCACATACAGGATCTCATTCAATCTTTACAATAGTTCCTTCTAGGTGGCATTACTCTCGTTTTAAAATCTGAGGAAACTCAAGTTCAGAGAAAGTAGATCTCTTGTCTAAGACTAAAACCCATGGCTGTCAAATTGATTCCAACTCACGGAGACCCTGTAGGAGTCTATGAGTAGAACTGGTCCATAGGTTTCCTAGCCTGTAACCTTTATGGAAACAGAATGCAACAGTTTTCTCTCATAGAGCAGCTGGTGGGTTCAAACTACTGATCACTGGGTTAGCACTGAGTGCTTTAAATACTGTGGCAACAGGACTCCTTGCCTAGATTATGTAGCTAGTAAACAGTAAGGTCTGAAATAAAAGTCCACTCTTTGGGGGAAGGGAAAGGTGCAACTAACTCTGTAGCACAACGCACAAATACCATCCAGCCCTATCTATTCAGCATCAACGCCTCTCCCCATTGGCCCTTACAGTCCACATATACTAAGTTCTTTCTACATATACTGAAGTCTGTGTCTTTCCCTGAATGTTGTCCTCCCTTGAACTACAGAGCCTTTGCACCTGAGGTTCCCCCTGCCTGAAGCTTTTTCTATCAGTCCTCCTTAGGGAAACAAGGTTTCCATGGCCCATTGACAGACAGAGGTCTTCTTTTGAAACATCATGATCTAAAAGATAACTACCTGGTACAAGTAACTGCCTGTTTTCAAGGCTCCCATCACTATATACTTCCTTCCTTTATTTGAGAGTAACTGATGATAGAAATGTTGATTTTACAACTCACCAACACAGGTCCTCCCATCAGGAGCTAGCTGTAGGCCAGGAGAGGGGCACTGGCACCGGATCTGTCCTTTGACAACATCACAGCCGTACTGACAATTTGCCATGGAGCACGTCAGGGCACCTGAAAGCAGAATGTCTGGCTGACTCAGATGGGTACAGAAGAGGCTCTGCAATTGAAATGGCTATGACCTTCTCTTTTCCTGAAATTAGTGGCACAGAATCAACATTGTAGACAAAGAGGCCTCATGTATTCAACAACCTAAAGAGTTAAAAATAGAGGGGGAAGACAGCAAAACACCACCAGGGAGGATTAAGAAGTGGACCAGTTTTGCTCTTCTCTGTAGGAGACCTTTAGACTTTTGAAGAATTAAAAGAGAAATGTAAAACCTTATCTTGCATAGACTATCTGGAAATTTTTCCAGCAGTCATAGAAAGTAGAGAATTGAGGTATTTTTTTCCAGTTTACTCAAGCTAAGTGCTTCTGTTAACTAAAACATCCAAGTAGTGTCTCAACTGCCCATTCAGCGTATCGAGAGGACATGGGGAGATTTCCCATGGAATTGCACAATGTTAGAAGATTCTAGTATCACTGTCACACATTATTAAGTGTGTCCTCACACTATTCCAAAAGCTTTCACGCAATGTTTATACAATGCTAACATTTTTATGTTATAAAATGCAATGGTTAACTTGCAATTTAATGATAAAAGTCAAGTTATTGATTGTGAATTATCATATAAACACAACCTCAATTTGATGTTCAGACCGCACAGAATTTTAGGGCTTTGATCATTTTGTAAACTATACCCCAAAAATAGTTGTTGTTGTTTGTTAAGTGCTGTCGAGTCGATTCTGACTCACAGCCATCCTGTACAGGGTTTCCAAGGAGTGGCTAGTGAGCTTGAACTACCGACCTTGCGGTTCAAACAAACCCTGCAGTCCAGTGCATTAACCCACAGTGCCATACCAGGACCCCAACCAAATGCTAGTAGGAAACACCAAAATGAACATTAAATCTACTTTTGTTATGTTATAGTCTTTTTTTTTTAATTAAAATAGGTTTGTTTGTTGTTGTTTTTTTCAGAAAAGGGAAGTAATTTAATTTAAAAGGGAAATTATTTAATAAAAGATATTTATGAATGATACATAATCATTCAACAAATCTGATAGATTTTCTATAGCAAATAGATTCTGTGTCCTTTTGAGTAATATAATAGTCCCCAAAGAGTCACTGATACTTTTTATTTTCCTATCTGGAATAATTTTTCTATGCCCAGGTATAAGACAGACAAAATTATGTTGGGAGAGATATTAGGAAATACACTTACTTTTGTTATTCTTGTCCTAAATACCATTTCCAAATCACACTAACTTTGACATCCATGGTAAATGAATGTTATACAACTAAAATGGACGTGTCTTATTTTCAAATTTTCAGGCACTTATAAAAACACACATACACATGCTGTTTAGGGGGCCTAGGGAGCCACTTTCACCAGACAGGTTACCAGAGCACAACAAGAAATCAAGCCCAAAGCACTTATAAAACAGTTAAGATTCTTGACATACTTGAGCAGGACCCATCCGGCATGAGCATATATCCGTTGAGACAGTAACACTTGTAGCTGCCGTAAGTGTTCATGCACCTGTGCTTACAGGGCCGCGGCTTCAGGCCACACTCATTTAGATCTGAAAAGAATGGGGGTTGAAGTGGAAACAATCACAAAACTTCAGCATTATTGTAAAACATTCAAAATATTTCTCTATAGTGACAAATAAGTGAAAAAAGTGGAGTATGCTATAGTAACACCATATATATATGATAGATTATTCTCTTCCATGCAATCTTAATTTGAATATTGTTTATAGTAGGGGTGACCAACAGTTTTCTATCCTTGTGACCCAAGTCTTTAATAATTATGTCATCTTAGGATTTTTGGAGCTTAAATTTTGTGGCACACATGATCCCTGTCCAGACAAGATGGCCAGGAGGATCCTCCCCACTAACCAGTGCCGTCGCTAGAATGAACAGCGTATTGTCCTCACCATGGGTGTTGCTGTTATTGATTCTCAGAGTAGATATGCTCCCATAGGGTTTTCTAGGCCAGGTAACACAGCTGCTAACTGAAAGGTAGTGCGAACCCACCAGTCCTCCCAAAGAAAAAGATGCGGTAGACTGCTTCTGTAATGATCACAGCCTTAGAAACCCCTATGGGTCGATTCTATTCTGTCCTATGGGGTCACTATGGCTCTGCATCAACTCAAAGGCAACAAGTAATCTTTACAAGAACATATACCCATGGCTGTTTCCATGGAGTCATTAGGTGATTTCAAACCACCAACCTGAATTCAGCTGCTAGAAGCTTAATTACTGTACCATTGGGGCTCCTTCTGACTGACATTATCTTCAAAATATCTGAGTTACTTCTAGATTCACTCCTGACAAATTGCTTATACTCCTTCAATTTCTTCCTGTCTCTGTTTAAAGTTTACCTATGGTTATAGGAATAATAGAGCACTGTTATCCTCACAAAGGAAAGCTTCATGTCCAAGGAATAAGAACTATATGAATTAAAGTCGCCATTTTTGTTATTTTTCTTATTCAATCCTGTGGACTATGGACTAAGCTCAGGTTAAAGAAGGAAACTCCAGTTTCCTACTTTACTAACACATTCAAATTATAAATGAAACTAAAAAATAATCCCTCCAACATTTTAATTCATTTGGCAGTTAAGAAGGGCATATGGCAATACTAATGGACACATACATAATAGTCTATGATTATGTATTTTAGGTTTACTGGTTTAAATATCAATGTTAAATGAATTAGTGAACTTAACATTACGAAAAATTTTCAGCCCATGTGGAACACTGCCTCAAGTGAACATAAAACTCTAAAGACAAACACTGAAATAATATGCTCAAAATATAGACTACATCAAAAAGATATGTGATCACATGTTTATTTTGTCTAGAATCACCTGATTACATAATTTAATTGTCTACTCAAATGAATCAATGCATCAGAAACATTATAAAATATCAAATTACAAAGCTATATTCAGATTTAAATCAAATTTAAAAGTGATCTGCTTATTTATCAGAAATCTATATATTTCATTTAACTTAAGCACCAGGTTATATTAATAAATTTCTAAAAAAAACAACACTATTGCATTTAATTTTTTTCATAACTTACTATCCAATTTGATTTTTTTCTCATCTCACCGTAACTCTCAGCAAAGCTCTAGCTGGGTAAGCCTATGAAGGTTAAATGGATAAACGAGATATCGCTGTTATCTCTGATATGTCTCTTCAATTCTCCACTTTGTTGTTTCTTGCTTATTCAAGGTTATTCATGCCAAAATCACATTTTAAAACATTTCAGATGAAAATATTTTGCATAGAAGGTACTTTGTATACTAACAACAACAACAAAAAATGATCTCTCCCTCTATTAAGTAAAATATTCTAATCAAGGAAGAAAAACTGGATTTCTCTCTTGGAGAAATTCTGTCACCTTCCCATGTTCTTCTACCTTATATTTCTAAGTACTTATTAAGGATCTCTGGTAGCGTAGTGGTTACGAATCGGGCTGCGAACCTTAAGTCAGCGGTTCGAAACTACCAGCTGCACCGCGGTAGAAAGATGAGGCTTTCTACTCCCGTAAAGATTTACACCCTCGGAAACCCTATACAGGGTCGCTATGGGTCGGAAACGACTCCATGGCACATAACAACAACAATTAAGAAACTAGACAGGAAATCTTTCTCATTTTTTTTAGGAGGAGTAATCATCATTTCTAATACATAACACCTGGTTTTGAGAAATCTCTGAATTGTATAATAACAAATAGTGTTTGAAAATGAGTACATTGTTAGAGAAATGATTTATGTTTTAAATATTTTTTCTGTACTAAATAAAAAAACAAAGCAGTACAACAAAACGAGACACACTGTGTATTTTATCTCAAGGTAGAGATGGTGATGGGTATAAAATGTGTCCACTAAGAACCCTAATGATTACTTTAAAAAATCCATAGAAACTTTGTGGGTTGAACGCTGATGTAATAAGTTAGGCAATAGGTAGCTAACTGCAAGGTCGGTAGTTTGAAACCACCAACTATTCTGAGTGAGAAAGATGAAGTAGTCTGTTTCCATAAAGATTCAGAGCTCCAAATTCCTATGGAATAGTTCTACTAGGTTGAACAGAATTGCTGTGGAATGGAATGACTTAATAGCAGGGGTCTGGGTTTTAGTTAATGATATATATTAACTTAGAGGTTTATTGCTCCAAAAAGCTGATAACAAAATATATTTATTTATGCTGGTGGAGGTCTCATCATTTATGGACTAAAGCTGAAGCGCAACTGAGGCAGTTCTTCCACAACCTGGCTCCTTATTGGCAATAAAGAGCCCCTTAAATTTTTCCATGGGAGGTCTTCATGATTCATACTAGGCTGCTAGTGGGCTAAGAGACTTGCTTCAACCCCAATTTTTCCTTCCCTACACATGCAAAGAAGCACTTTGGGATGAAGAATCATGAAACTGAAGAAATATAAAACGATGAGATCTCATGATTCTCCCCAAAACTGAGAATCACTTTGAAATAATATGAAAAGGGATGTAAACATGCAACATTCAGTAGGTAACTGTAGAGACATTTTGTTGGCAAAATGTCCTCTTAATTATTGAACAGACACCTAAATATTCAAATAAATTGAAAACATTTAAAGGAAACTGTACTCCAACAGGAGTCCTGGTGTGGCGCTGTGGGTTAATACACCAGACTGTAAAGCCATTTGAACTTCAAGGTTGACAGTTCAGGCTCACCAGCATCTCCTCGGAAACCCTATACTGGGTAGCTGTGGATCAGAACTGACTCAACGGCACTTCACAACAACAACAACTGTTGATGGGATGGATGATACTCCCCATGGCTGCAGTCAGTCTCCCGTCTGTCACAGGCAAGCATCTCCTACAAACTTCACTAGGACCCTTACAAAAACAACTGCAGAAATTACAAACTAGGAACCAGTCTTCCCTGATTACCAATATTTACCAAATATCAGACTTTTGTTACAGCAGGGAGCTTTAAAAGATAAATGCCTCTCTTTCATCAATATACTTCAGAATTCCTATTCTATGATTGTTGTTGTTTGTTGTTAAGTGCCGTCGATGTACCTTATTTCCTTATTGATATCATAATGTCTTGTAAAACTGAGTTAATATGTGTTTCTTCCAATAGCTGCTGTATTCCTTACCACAAACTGTTGGCCCACAAATCTGTTAACACTTGTGTTATCAAATTAAGTCAGAAACTCAACAATGAAATTTCTAAATTATATTAAAGGGCTCCCATATATTCATAAGCAAGTCAATATTAAGAACATGAAAACTCTCCTGATGACTGAAAGAGAGAATCTAAGTAAGAAAACATTTTTTTTAAGTTTACTTTATTCTTACTCTTTCTTTGGAAGTTTATAATATGAATATAGGGGAAATCTACAATAAAAAGATATTTAATGAAATCCATCATTATCATCATTCTAAACAACAGAGCTTTACAATTAAATCATTTACATTCAAATGCTATAATTAGGTAACACAATGCTTAAAGAGCAGGTATTACCATCAAGAGTACACTGAAGCAGGTTGGTGGATTTGGGAGCTTGGCCAGGGGCAGGGTGTGGGCGGTAGAGAAAGGAGAGCTAGTCTAGAACAGAAATGCAAGCTGCATAGCAATATTATTACATTTCAGGAAAAAAAAAGAATCAGAAATTGTATTAACATGCAGAACACTGAATAACACAATAGATTTGTAAGAAAAATAATCTTTCATTCATTTTAATGGATTCCCACTCCCCTTTTAAGGCTTTAACTGGGCAATGATTCAGAAATCTAAGCTTTTAAATTTTATCTGACAAAAATGAAAGGGCATAGACAAATAAATGTCAATATATATCAATAGCCATTATTCACATTCTTTAAATTATCAAATGACTAATCTCGTAGACCTAATTCACCAAGCTTCATGTCAGCAGTAATTTAAATATTGAAACTATATTTTAATTTAATCATCTTAAATTCCTAAATCTCTAGACAAGTAATATACTCCCTTAGAAGAATTTAAAAATAATGCTACCATTTCACTTTTCTGTAAAACGTTGTAGCATAATGTGGAACTTATTTTTGATGTTCTGATTCTCATACCAACTCTGTATTCAAGTAAAGCAGATGAGATCTAATGGTACCGATTAGATCCCTGAGACCCAAATACATTATCAAGCTAATTAAGGACTGTTCTGGAATCTGCAATTAGGCTTCCTAGTATTAAAAAAGTGTATGCCAAACAAAAGAAACGGAAGCAGGTTTGGTTTCCAGATAATTTAACTCTACACTCCAAATGGATGGTGGTGGGGAGGACTTAAACCTTTACACAATCTGCTTGGCAAAGGCCATTAAAACCCCAAATCTGAGTTGTTTTACAATTCATGACTCTGTTACATGTGAAAACAAAAATTAATTTGAATATCTGATTTTGAAAATATACTAAGAAGCCCAGAAAAGAAGAAGAGCAATGATGCTTTATGCATTGAAAGAACAGTAGAGGCTCCAAGGCTTCAAAGGGCGCAAAGAATCAGCACCAGGTGGCAATTCCTGATGCTTGCTTCACATGCTTAGGATGCG